CCCTCTCACCTGGAGAAGATGAGGGCGATGTCCGGCCTCCTGGACTGCAGCTGATCATCTGGAGAGCTTTGTCTCCTGCTGTCAAACGTGTTCCTGCACCCCGGGGTGGGGGAGGCATCTTCATTATCATCATCATCATCATCATCATCATCATCATCATCATCATCATCAGAGCTGGGGGGGGGCGCCTCGACCTCTGACCTGCAGGAAGCTGAGTGACACCTTCCCTCCTCATCTCTCAGTATAAGCACCGCCCCCTGTTCTCCTGGCTCCGCCCCCTGCTCTCCTGGCTCCGTCCCCTGCTCTCCTGGCTCCGCCTCCTCACTGTTTGTCATCACCGCCGAAGCGTCATCGATCCGCTCCATTTCTAACACACTTCCTGTCTGTATCTACAAAATAAAAGCATTGCAAGTGTAAGTAATTTAAAGATCAATATGAAACTGATCAGAAACAGACACAGGTCATCAGGGATGAGTTTGATATGTATTTTTTATTAAAATGTTGAAAGATGGTTCTTCTGGTTTCCTATATTGATTCATGACGTTTTATTTTGAAGGTAAGCTCTTCTGTTTCCGGTGTTTATTATTATTTATCGGTGAGTACCTCTCCCTCCGGTTCTCTCAGGTCCTCTCGGATCAGCGGGGCGTCGCGGAGCATCTCATGCCGGGATCGGAGCCATCAGGCCGGGGAGCGACGCTGAGCGAGGCCCGCGGGCCGGAACTCCTTCATCCTCAGAGGACAGGTGAGACAGCCATCTTCAGGTGACGTCATGACGCAGGGGCACATCGCCCTGACGTTACAGGGATTAGGATCGAGTGTAGAATGGGATGTCTGGGTAGAGACAGCGCCGTATAGATAGATAGGGCTCTGGATAGAGACACAGCTGACTGTATTTGTCTCTTGTTATTCATTTGATGTAATGTTTAACACTTATATGTTTGTGAGGATGTAGAATAAATAAGATGTTCCTATTAGGGCTGTACCCGAATATTCGTTCGTTGGAGTACTATTCGGTTTTCAATTTCGTTATTCGGATATGCGTTTTGTTTGTTTTTTCCCCATTTTTTTTCAAATTGAAATCTCCAATATCAATCAATCAATCAATCAATCAATGTTTATTTATATAGCCCAATATCACAAATGTTACATTTGTCTCAGTGGACTTCACAGTTTGCACAGAATATCAGTATGACAATACGACACCCTCTGTCCTTAGATCCTCACATCGTACAAGGAAAAACTTCCAGAGAAAGCCCACAGTTTAAAGGGGAACATGGGAGAAAGCTCAGGGAGAGCAACAGAGGAGGGATCCCTCTCCCAGGACGGACAGACGTGCAATATGCCGTGTGTGAATTATCAACGTAAGAGCTTGTGCCTCTTCGGGGGGTGCTAACACGTAACCATAAACGTTATTGTTTACTTTCTCCGTCTTTATATGTAGATATTACTTTTCTCCGTTAATCTCCGTCACGTTGTTTCCATAGCAACAACAACTTCCTGTCAACAGCGGCTAACTGTCCTTCAAAATAAAAGCATGTCCATAAATAGGAAGCCAAGCCAAATTACACTTAAGACATATACAACTGCAACGAAAGTAACAAACACAATGCGATATCCTTTTCAATTTCAAGAACACAAATTGGGTTACATTAACAAATAACTATAAAACAACAATACTGTAGAATAACAAAATTAATGCTGTGAATAAACCGAAATACACGTGTTGAAGCGATTCGCTGC